AACAACAACAACCGCAACAACAACGACAACGGCGACAACAACGGCGAAAACAACAACAACCGCAACAATATATAGTCTTATTGCATACATAGCCTTACTTATAGCGGGATTATTTAGAACACACGAACCCGGAAAAAATCGATTTATTAACTTTACTGACGATCAACGTATTTATGTGTTCGTATCTAACTGTTCTTCTTAAAGCAGGTCCCTTTGTGGGTCGTACTTTAAATGGTGACATGTATTCTTGTCACTCAATTAAAATAAGCCTTCTAGGCGATTCACGCTAACAAACATTTTTGCAAGTGCATGTTAGACTTCGGCAGTGAAGAAATATAATTAAAAATGACAGAGGAACAATGTCCAACAATTGTACTCCGTTCATACGCTGCATTTTGGTCTGCAGCTGAATCGGCCTTTACATTAACCTTTGCCCGTTCGCTAGCACCATAACATTCCGATAATATTTCACACCTTCAGTATATCGAAAACTTCAAGTTAACGCCGTTGTAGTTTTTCGCCGAATAGGACCCTTTAAACCTCGGATATTTTTATTCCAATGAAAGTTAAATAATACTTGTTGTCATCCGACCTATGGCTGGTGGCCAATATGAAAATTCCTTAGAAGCGCCGTTGGTGCTGCCGTCTCGTCGTTGTTATCTCCAACAATCAGAATCTCGTCTTCACTCGTATTTATTTACCCCTCGGTTTTCTCTTGTCGCCCATGTTTGTCTCCCCTGTGATCGGTAGCTTGGCCGATAGCTCGACAATTCTGCACCTGCACAATGTGACCTCTGAGCGAACAGCTACCCCCTTTCTTTAGCAGATCTAAATACGACCCCAACTAAATGCCACACAAATCTTTTATCTTAATTTTGCTGTTGTCGCTCTCCATTGGTCCGAACTCCCTGTCGGCTCTTTGTCTACGACGGTCTGCAGAGCAAAACCAAGCGAAAGCCTGTTTCTGTATGTTAGGTCGATAGATAGCTCGGGGGTAGCCGCACTCGGATTGCGAGGTGAAACCTATTCGCAATCCCGCTGTCGCCCAGCAGAAAGATCGACCGTGTAGGGCCCGAGCAACCGGCTAAACGGCTCTGTGATCCTCGCGATTCGCGCCAACATCCGCGCGCGTGCACAACTGCGTGGCTGACGATATCGGGACCAATGATATAGGCAGCAGCGTTCACGATCTGAGTCGTTGCTCAAGTTCTTACTCGTCAGATGATTCTTCTTGCCGTTTACCTTCTTGTGCCGTTGAAAGGCACACGGACTTGTCTATCCAATGGACAAGCCGGGGAAGGAAATGTGGACGGGGAAAGAGAGGCCAGGGACATTTAAATCCATTCAGTATTTCAGCAGCAGCAGTAGCATACCGTTCTGAGACCTATGAAGTACCAGAAAGAGCAGAAGACTGTGTAGGCGATTGGTGAGCTCTTGCGACTGATGCTTTGCTGTTAGTGAGTTTCGGACCTTCTTTATGGGCTTGATCGTTCGGATTAGTGCCTGTCTTCTCCTCGTCTCCTCAATGAAAACTCCGACATTTTTCTTGGAACAGCAACTCGAATGGGGCGAGAAGCTCAGGCAGCACTAGCATCACCATTTAAGTTGATCGTGTGCTCTTGCTATCACTGTTGTCGCTATCTGTAACTCTGCTTCATCTGCCACTAAAAATAGCACCTCTCAGGGACGGAATCAATACATGATGGTGTCGCGGAGTATTTCTTGCTGGCTCCAGCTCCTTCTAGAGAAGTCTACTGGCTTTAGCCTGCGGGGAACTGGATGCGGTACGAGGGACGAAGGCTTTTCATGTTATCCGAACTGGACAGCCTGCGGCTGGTACTGCTGTTATTTAACGGGGCCTTTCAAGGGGACAACAACAATCCTTCCATGATCATACAGTAAAGATTGTTCACCCCCTGAAGTATGGGTAAGGTATCATGATGACGGCCAACAGGGGCGGGAACCCCCCGCTCGTTCTCAAATATGTCTTCTGGTAAATGAATTTTCTTTATTGGAGTAAACCTCTTATGATATGAATGGCTGTGGTAGCAGCAGTGCTGGTAGGGTGTTCAGAGACTCGAACAGCAGATGTGTCGTTTTAGTTTGAATTCAACAAAGTCCGCTAAAGATTTGAAGGCCATATGTAGACACTAGGATGGCTAAAATACTTGTATGTCTTGAAACGGTCGAAATCCCTTGGTTTCCATATACTTAGCTAATGTAAAATGTACTTAGAGTAAAAAACGTAATGGCACCAAAGGTTACAAACTATAATAATTTGAAATTAATCATTAACTAGAAATCGGTACCTGCAGTGATCTATTATGAAGGTATTACAGGTAGAAGCAAACTGAGTGTAATGAATTTCGTACCCATGCTACCTTAGTGGGTAACCTATTTGCCTGCTGATCTTTGAGACACGTAATAGTCTAGAGGCGAACCCAGACATAGACAAATTTCGCTTCGTGCTGAGAGCCAGCGGTTTGATGGAATGCCTAACGGCGATACCGGAGGTAAAACTCGCAGAATAAAGTATAATGAATTTGTTAAGAGCTATGCGAAGATCATATAAATTCGATAACCTAACATTGTTTCGATTGTTTAAAAAATTAGGGTTGCTTATTGCTTATCGTTATTTCTACGTTCTACCGAAAAATACTCTCAAAAAGCAATTGTTTTCATTAGCTGCATTGTGTCAGTCTTGCGACTGCATTGACCTTCTAAGATCGAGGTATTCTATATAGTATGAATATGCGTTAGAAGCTCCCATACCTTTTCAGCCTAAAAATTGTCGTAAGCTAAAGCGTTAGAGCTCAATCACAGCGTGTCGGTCTTCAGCGACTCTCTAATTTTCATTTGATATTTTGTAGATGCATACCATTAATTAAAGTTTTCGCATCACCAGGTTTAAAGCTATACACTGTGATTATGTTTATTTAGGCGATCAGACTTTCTAAAACAATAAAGCACTCTTTAAAAAAAAACTACTTGGACGACTCAGTATTAGATTGAAGCGCGAAAAATACGAGCTATTCATATCCTTTATATTAAGTAATGTAGTTTTAGTGCATCTGCGACAGCCATCATAAAAGAGGCATTTTCCACATGTTGGATTTAAAAGAACCACACTACCAACCCATAAAAAGAGGAATTTTCAAAGCTGCTTGATTCAACACAGAGTCCGCTGTCGTCGCGACCACTTTTATCTGCTATGAAGGCGTCTCGTCAGTCAGGAAATCTCGTAATTCATCAGAAAGATCCCAAACGCTTGCTGCCACATGGCAGAGTTTATTTTGACAAAGGAAACTGAGGCACTAAGTATACTTCGCACCCCAGCTTGATACCTATTGGACGGCAAACTTTCGATGTTCGACAATCTCCATTCATTCATTCATTCATTCGTTTAGTCATTTAAATCATCATGAACTTACATATACAGTATTAGGAGTAATGCGTTCATACGTGAACAACGAAATCTAGTTTCAATTCGTATTACCAGAGATTCTTCTTGGCTATTAGTACCCGTATTTTGCTGAGAAACTGTTGTTATAGCGGCTCTCGTCGAATCAAGTAAATCTTCCGAACGCGATGGGACTTGATAGAAAGTTCTCTGCTGACTGCAAACAGATTATTCCCCATAGGGTAGGTTAGATATGGTGTTGCTGATTATGGCTAGGCCAATGTTGATGCCGCCGCCACGAGGCGCGTACCCCCGCCCCAGACAACAGAAACGTATCGGACGAAATATGGACGCCGCATGGAAAGTCGACCCGCGATAGAAATTCCACTGGACGACGAAACGGGTCTACAGGTCCAACTATAAGTGGAAAAGTCACAGTCAAACTGATCGCTCTTGAATGAGCCAGCGAGAAAAAAGAGATGGACGTCCTGAAGAGCCGGCAACTAGATAACGGAAAAGAAAGAAGAACATTCGACGACTACTACCATCGAACTATATTCTCGGAATGAGTAAACTCCAATCGTTTGTATTGATTGAATAGCGAAGAACACCAATAGCTAGGCGGGTGAACTGCGCCTGCCGGCATTCTTCCAAAGGTGCGAAATCTCTCAATATACCTTTGCTGTTTGTTGCTTGAATGTGTTTTATGCGTGAACCTGTATCAAATTGGTGGTTTTTTGCATTATGGTCGCTTTCATTGGGCATCTCACGCAACTCTGGGTGTCTAGACGGTCCACCTGATCCTGCGTGGGCTGAGCCGTTTCTACGTCTGCACACTGTCCTCGAACGAGGCGAGATAAAACGCAAAAGATGAGCTAAAATATTAGTCTATCCATTTCTAGCCCGGCTGAACTTAAAAGAAGGGTCAAAAGTCTCATATAACATAACAGCGATATCTTCATTTATTTACACAATTCTAGAATTCTTTGCCGACGGCTTGGCAGAGCAGGGACAGCTTCGTGCTTCTGGTGGGTTGAAACAATTCAGTCGCAGGTAAAAAAAAAAATTGCCCACACTCAAACGGAGGTCCATCGATAGAATCGGCGATACTCATTTTTCTGTCGACCTGATCAGTAAAATACATGCTATTTCTCGCGCGAAATTCAAATACCTAAAAACAACGAGAAACTACAATAGTTTATTAGTGAAAGCTAGCTGATCAATAAGGCAGAGAATTATTATCTACAAAGTGATATTAACCCGTCGAATCGCAAGAAACGATAAATTGGGAATAATGTTTTATAGCGGAATTCCTCATATAGATTCACATGTACATCGCAATCAACTAAGTAGCTTCGTGCAATACCGCTCCTCGAGCTACGTTTGTTATACATTCTATATTACATTATACAAATTAATGTGGAAACTACGATATAATAGGCTAATAGTCATTGTATTACGATATCACATACTAAGGATTGATCACTCACTATGATCACATAGGAATCGAAACCGGAGACTTTTTTTTCGCTTAAGGGTCGGCAAGTCCACTATTTCCGAGGAAATCGAACTCATCGTGAGCATTCACAGCATGATGCACGTCCACCGGAAGAATACCGTCGACTTCGTAGTTCGATGCGTTTCTAGCAAATGCTGCGGAAAGTGAACGTCTTAGAAGTCGTTCAGCAAACGACATTGTGGCGGCATCCATCAGCCGAAGTAGAGCATCGAGCTCGTTCCGATCTTCGGTAAGTCTGCGTTCGTCTACTATCTGCTCGAGAGTATCATAGATGAATTGAAGGCGTGGGGAGGAAACTGTGATTCGCCTAGACAGATCTTCCTCTTTTTGGGGTTGTAGTGATTCAACGTCGACTTCAACGTCTTCATCTAGTTGCGTTTTTCTCCTCTTGACAGGTGACAGTGGTGGAGCAAGCTCTGATGAAAGTCGCTCAGAAAAGTCCATATATGTGTAGGAGTCGAGCTGCACACCCTCCATGGTCGTCGACTGAAGATCCGTAGACTCGTGAAGTGGAGTGTATCCATTTTTGCGTAGGTAGAGTAAGACTAGCCTCGTTCTGGGTACGTTGGTAACCCCGTACTTAATAAGCGTCCTGCGCAGGCTGCTGGCCCGGGCCCACTCAATCGCTTTCCGTTTCCCTATATGACAGGAGAAAAAGTCATCGATACAGAAGGCTTGGTAGAACAGGTCCGATACGGGCCTGTTACCAATGAGTGTAAAAAAGTCTTGAGCAAGTATGTCTATAAGACGATACACGTCCTGGGAGAAGTCTACTTTTTTGAGTGATTCATCCCAGTTTGCAGTGGCTTCCAAAAAAGTCGTAACGGGAGTGGCAACGCTTTTCAGTGTGGACCACTTCGTTTTGAGCAAGGATTCACCTTTGATTAACCGAACGTTTGACGATGAATTGACTTCAACAGCCGAATCCTCCGCTACGAGCACGTATGGGAGAGTCCGTATTAATGGCGTACAATAATCGTGTCCATGTGCTTCAAGGTCAATTACGGTCGGACTTGGAGAAGCGAACCCTCGTTTGACGACTGCACTAGCGACGATCTGCTGGTCTGGGTTTCCAAAGTCCACGGGTTCCCGTTTAATCTCAATGTTAGGTTGCGATAATTGGGACTGTTTTAAAATTACTTGTGGGTTTGTAGGTGAGTCTATTTTCTTTTCTACTAGTAGCATCACTTCAAAGATTGTTTCACCCCCCAATGTTTGAAGTCCGGTCTTGAATTTATCAAGTTTTAATCCGTGAATAACATCTACAGGCTTGTTCAGTGGATCGACGAAGTGCAGTTGTGACCTTAATGAAAATTCTCCCCATCCTTTACGCTTCAATTGAAATGGAGAAGTTACGTCGACCACGTCGTGGGGAAAATAACTTGGATGAAGGAAAAATCTCACTTTCGACAAGATATCCTGTATCTGCAACTTCTCACTGGGATGAAGCCGAACATAAGTCACCCATATATGAGTGACAATATCTTCAGGGTCTTCATCGCCAATATACCTCGAGACGTTACCAATTACGAATTTAACCTTTTCCATTGATTTCACTACGGTTTCTAATTTTGTTGGTTTCTGGTCTTCCAGGTGACCTTGACCAAGTTTTACTGGAAGATCATATGAAGCTGCGCTGAGTCTCGCCGAAGGCAGGGTCTTGCCGGCGAAATATGCTCGAACGGTTGGATGTACGCAGTTTTCACTAGCTGAAAGCTCACTGTAGTCAGACACAGCGTAATATTTGGAGATAATGGCTGCACGCAGCTTGTCTAAAACTTGTTTAGTTCTATGAATTCGTTCAGTAATTAGTTCAACTTCTGTTTTCTTGTACTCTATTTCCTCGTCAAAATGCCGCTCCACAATGGAACAAATCTTGTGAGCAGCACTCTCCATGTTAGCCACTTTACCTGAAAATAAAACTCCTGAAGTTACTTTGTGCTTCTGAGTTATATGTTTACAACAAACTAAAGCAAAAACAAACATTACTATCTATCGAATCAATATATTCGAGTACACACTAATACATTTTAGTTGACAGCCTCCAATAATAAAGAAAATACCAAGGCGAACTGGCATCTTTAAGCTATTACTTGCGCCACGCAAAAACTCAACCATGAACTCACGATATTAAATTTAGATTAAGCTTAGTTCCACAAGTGTTTAATACGAGAGCGTTGGAATCCAAACCGGTAGGGTTCCTAGAAATACTTGCAATGGACTAAAGCAAAAAAGATCTGATATATCTCAGGCCAGCATGCAGGCCGACAGTTCGGCATGCTCAGCCTCACTATATAACGATCTCATATAAGAATACGATAAATTCATATGCATCTTTCTGACGTTGTAAGTCTTGCAACATTATAAATGATATACATAAAAAGCACACTCAAGGCTACTCACGCTCAACGATCTATCAAGATCCAAAATAAATAATTGGCAAAAAGTAGGAAGTAAATACATCTACTTTTAAACAAATCGAAGATATTCTTGCCTGTAACACAAATATTATAACAGTTAGCCAATTTTCAATTTTTCCGTTCTTTTAAACAAATCGAAGATATCCTTGCCTGTAATGCAAATGTTATAATAGTTAGCTAACTTTCAATTTTTCTTTCAATTTTCAATCGCTACTGTTCTTTTTACTGGCATAGTTCAAGGAATTGTTATATTCGAGACAAGTGATTTAATTGTTTTTCCCGTAATCGTATGCTCATTGATGTTGTCTCGACTTGAACTTATCCGCTTAATATTAGCAAACATACGCATTTTTTTACATATCAATTTTTGTTACATATACGGCATTCCTTCACGCACAAATTTTTGCACAGAACACAGTGTTACAGATACTTAATATGATAAGAAGTTTTGCGTCAGGCTAACTAGCGGAGTCTCTGTAGAGGTACATTGGCAATCTCATCGCAAAACATCATGAACGAATTTTTAATGCTTTAAATTACTCTAACGTTACCCAGGTACAATAGTTGTAAGAGCGGTTTAAATCGGGTGGCGGCGTGCCTTATTTGTCAGCCCAATAACAATACCCAGCAAATAACAATATACCTCGTGGCGGTTGACTTCCGCTATAGTAGTATATTGCGTTAATGCATCATCTTGTGATTTAATTGTTTTCTCAGTTCTATCACCAGACGTCGTCTTAAAAGCTCACTACAGCCTTGATTTGTATGTCGAGAGGTGCCTCTTTCTAAGCAAGCCCCTTTCATAGGTCAAATAATATTGATGTGATTGTTTTTTTAAAATCGAGTATATCATTTAGGGAAAAAGGCGGACTTGTGGTGTGAAAAAGGTGAAAAAGACTCATATTTGTCAGCAAGCACAAGTGGAAGCGATTATGTCAATGTTTCTGTTTACCAATGGCCTTATTTTTTCATGACCTGGTGCACAGACTACGGAACCAGGGTGGCCTGTAATAGCAGACAAAGTGCTCGTATTCCCAAAAGCCTATCGTATCACTTGATGATTAAATCAATGACAATGATGAGATTCAGTCTGCGGGAATAATCTCGGCCAACAATCAGTCACCTAATAAATCATAAATGAATAAGGTAATTCTCATATGCAACGAATAATCATTCGACGAACGAGACAACAACCTCTACACATTGTCATGCGCTCCCACCTTGATTAATACATTCATTGTTTCTTGTTGTCGGTTAGCCCCTCATTTATTGCTTGCCAAGCACATTTATCTTTTGAGTTAAAGTTTCGATCGTTCTCAAATAAATTCTAGCAAATTCACCGATTCAGAAAACATCGTTTTAGTGCAGTGTGGGACAAACATGGCAAGCAAAATAATCTTCTAGTTGCTTGCTCGTCTAATTTAAAAAAAGTACCACGCGATGTATTGCACCATTGGCCCTGCCTACCTTCAGCACAAAGAGTTATATAAGCAGTTTTCCCAAACAGGTGGCAACTGATTTATTCTACAGTCTAATAAATAATCATCTTATTAGCAGACTAAGTTCGGCTGAAAGGAACGTGCGCCCACGAAGTCGGTAAACTGAGCGAAAGAAAAACAAACTCAGTGTACAAAGAGCAATATCATAAGAACGGAAAAGAAATGGAATCAATCAATGGCCTAGTGATATATTCTATAGGCAAGAAGGTAAGAATCAAAGACAGATACCGGAAGTCGTCGAAACGCTCATTCGGGTCACATATTAAAATTAAAAACTGACATTTCTATAATATGCAACGTGATTCTTCTATTGAATAGAAGTCGCGAAGGCTCAGTAGCGAAGTCATTGGCTTTGACACCGACGTTTTCGTCATCAAAAATAGCACTGGTCGTCGAGAGGGCGAGTCATTCCATGGACTGTTTTTAACACTGACTTACGATTTGGCCTTAGTTCGATCAGATGACGAAAAGGAATTCGTGTGTCATAGCAATTAGCATGCCAACATGTGATAATCAACACTTGGTGCAACTATTACTGGAGGTCCTGTCGACTTCCAATAAAAAAAACTGGAAGAAACAAAGCAGAAAAAACTGCAGAATGCTATTCATAATTAACAAAAGCAATGTGGCGATGTAAAAAAAACGAAGGGCAGCAACGCAAGCACCTAAATTAATAACAGACTTGTATTATAACAGCATGTACACATGTCGTACCGTATCAATTCGTCGGGATGATTCTTGCTTACTAATGGCAAATCGAAAGTTCAGTTTAACTGTCAAATAGAAACGGCACTTTTGCCATATTTTTATACCTAAAACGTCATCATACAACTCAATGTACCCACTCAATACAAACCGTAGAGCTAAGTATACAAGGTATTAGCTGCCCCACCACATGAACTATTTTATTATTAAGCTCGCCTACAATTAGCAGTGTCTAGCGTTGAAATACGTCTTCAGGTACTTTTATAAAGTATCAAACGCTCAGCAGAACGTTCCATGATGGCCAGATATACAGCCGAAGCTATATAACCGCAAGCGTTCGCACATCTCGATCCACAATTACAGACGTTGCCACATCAATGTGTCGAACTTTGAAAAAACTCGGAAAACTGAGATGCAGATTGCGACCAGCTGGCCAACAACATTCTACAAAGGGCTGCAGCAGACGAGGCAGTCAAGTGCGTTAGAGGAAGGATAAGCAATCCCTAGATAAAAAAAAGAGTAAGTAACCTTACGTTATGCCACTTAACCGATTAATCAAGTGTGACACATACACCTTCAAATATTGTCATTAGATGTTCACTTGTATTACGTCATATGTCAGATGTCTAAATTGCTGTTTATAATCGAAATCATAGAGACCAGTTCGCAAAATGGTTTTCACTAAACAGTACGCTCATATCGTAGCAAATCGAAGAACCCTCCAATAGAGGAATGATGATTCAGCCACAACTCTGTGAACAAGAGCCTTGCCGATCAAAAACCATGAGCTTTCGAAGCACATGTCGTGAAACCCCAACAAAACTGTTAACTATGTAAAGATCTAAAATGATTTAGAGCGTGCGGTGTGCTAGTGCCTGGGGGGTGACTGGCGTTGCTTCAACGGATTTAAAACCCATGATTATCTCAGCAATTCGGGGATTTCGCTTCGGGTCCTAGTCGACTACCTCGAAAAAACCTGCTTCTGAGAAATAATAGTGCAAATCATTGCTGTAGCCTCTGAAATCACTATTATTTTACAGAAAGTATCTCAAATTTTTAAAGCCAATTTATTTGAAAAACATAATTTTATTTAATATAATATCGTTGATTCTATAGCTCATAAATTTTCACTGTGTCATTATAGCTTGCGACACTAATCCACGTTGGCTGATAATCATTTTCCTTTCAACAATGGCATCATTTTAATTAACTAAAAAATATCTTTCGTAACTTCCAAAAAATACTGCAAATGCCAGCTATTGCAGCGGTATTAAAGAGACTATACCATTAACTTGGGATCTAATACATATTAGCAAACATTTAATATTAGAAATTTCGACATAAATTACAAAATGAAAATCTAAACGTTTCTAATTTTTTTAAATATAATAAACTCAACTACGAGTTATTCAAGCTTTGCACTTTTAAAATTAACGGCGTTTTTTTCTTAAGAAAAACAACCCTATTTGACATTACTGGGCCATTGTTATCGAACATCTCTTATTGAAATGTTCGATAAATTTGAGCAAGAGTGTCACATTATTTTCTATGTCTAGAAAAGTTCTATCTCTTTTGAATCATTAATCTGATGAATTAGAATAATCACGTGGTTTTTAATATACATTTAAAATTTTAGATCTAAGCTTTACACGAGGCATATACTATATATTTTGCTTGCATATACATTAAGGACGTATATATCACTACCATGTACTATACGACGTTCCAAATACTTCAAAGATTTAACATTTTTCTTTAAAAACAAGTACAGAATTTTTCTTTTCGATACCTCTTGGCCTCAGAAGCAAACAGCTGATCGAAGAAGCCTTAATATAAATGCCACTTTCGTTTTACTGTCCTGGCTTACAAAACATGATTTTCTCCTCACATGTACGTTGGACAATCCGTAGATCGAAGCACTGCAAGGTACACATCGCGACAAATAGTAACAAACAGGCTTTTAGAACTTGGTAAAACTAATGGCTTGGACTGCCAGTCACGACCACTTTCTCCGCGGTTGGATAAACACCGTTCGACTAGCGCGAACCCAATGACGGGGAAGCCTTTAACGGGGCGGTTGACCACTTGCATCATCAAAGTCGTCAGCCATATCTGGCTGAATCCACCGTTACAATAACACCGACATTCTATTACAGATCAAAAAATAATGACACAAAATGAAAATGTAGATTACAGTTGTACAACACGTACTTGTATAGTTGCAGTTTTGCTAAGGAAACAGTTTTATTGTTACAAACAGACTGATATGATATTGCGCAAATCTAGACTAATATCCGAACTAATCAAACAAACATTACAAGCACAGTGTACGTTTGTACCACTAACGATTGTGTAAAACCTTTTTTGGACAAATTTCTGAAAAATGTCCTCGGGCTCGAATCTTGGCCTAGACACACTTCGCTTTGTACTACAAGGACCTAACCGCCTAAACCAATGTCTAGCGGCTCGAGTACCGGACATAAAAATCCAAGCATCTTTTTGCATCGAATAGGGTGCTCTAATCAAAACCATTTTAGTTTTCATCTTTTTACGTTTCCGAACTACGCCCTCTATGTTTATTGTTCAACGTATTTTTGTTTGTAATGTCTTGTTAACCCAAATAAAGGAAAGGTTATTTGTTATGAAATCTTAATATTTAGGTATACCCACGACTGTCAGTAAAGGAGTTTTTTCACCAAAAATCTTTCGCTGACAGTTTAAACCTCGTCGTGGTCTTTTTGGTCACGTTCCTCTTGAAAACATTAGGAAGTCCTGTTTACAATTGACGAAGCTGTCATATGGCCTAACACTTGAAGATGCAAAATGTGTTCGTATTCGCTTTTTATAGTTTCAATACAGGGCCTAAAATGTTCAAAAAGGCATACATATATATATGCAGCAAACATTTAAATCACTGAAACATCTAGAATTCAAGTGAACTCCTTTGAATATCAAGAACAAAGATGACCTACGTGTTTGGTCGGCAATAAAATACTTAACCGTTTTTCATTCTTCTTTAAAAGCCCAGATAGAGAATCATATCATGTTCATTTATTTACTACAGAAAAAGAGAACTGAATATGGAAATACTGTGCAAAGTGCGAAGACGAAGAACTGAACTATGAGCACACGACTAATTTCTAAAGGTCCGGTTCGACAGAGCTTTGACAATGTCGACATTGACACTTATTGTGAAAAGTCTCCATCAGTTAACGAAAAAACATACCGAGATCGTATGTGTATTTTATGATCAGCAACGAGCGTTCCCAACAACGTTGCACGGTTGCCTGAGCGTCCCGATCACGAAGCCACAACTCTAAAAGGCAATTCGTCCGTTTTTCAAAACGAAAATACACCGACTTATACCTACTTTACCGCTACTATTGCATTTCTGACTAAAACAAGTCAAAACAGTTCATTACATGATATCCAGTTAAATGTTTGCTGATCTGACTGATGTAAAATCAAATGAAGTTAACTCTAAGGCTCTCTATTGAACAAAGAAAGTATAAAAAAGTTTTAAAAGCTAGACGAAAATTAACGAGTAATCGAAGCGGCCGCCTTAAAGATACGCTGTCACTGAAATTGGGGCTTTAACAATGCTTTTAAGAGCGAATAAGAAAGACCCTATGAAGAGTAAGCTAAATTACGGTTCATGAAGGAATAAAAATAATTCATTCGGTCAAGTAAGCGCTTATTATTTTACAGCAGGAATCCTGAAGCTATCGATTAGGCCCTGCAATTCCAGTGAACTTTATCAGCAATATCGTATAGGCTTGTAGATAAGCTACACGTTTGAATATTGGACTTGGCAAAATACAATATGTGCTTGTCTATATGTAAAATGTTATTGATACAATTTGCTTTGAGAAACAATAGAAAAATCCTATTCAATAATATAAAAAAATATTGAGCTACTAACCGACTTCGTAATAGCTGGCAAGAAGCTTTTTTAAAAAACTCAATTTTTCCTAACAGTTAATATTACACCTACACGTAATCATTTCGGTAGCAAACCGTTATGGTGGTCAGTTATCGGCCAGAGGTGTAAAACGGATGGGTTTAAATAGTACGATCGTTCTTTGTGATGCAATCTGAAATGGCTTTTAGACGCGGAACGTGGCATAGAAAAAAATACATGTTCTTGAAGGGATTTCGTATAAAGTCCCAATAGCTTGGGACACTGAAAGATATGCAGGTAAAATATATTCGTAACCTATGACCATTCGACTGGGGACGAAAAATAGCAGTGGTAACAGTCATAATGCCGGCTAGTATTATTTGTCAACCGCTTTGATAAGCCAAATGTCGTTTCGCCGAGACAGCACCCCTTAACCGGAGCAGACAATGCGACTTTAACACTTCAGAGTCGGTCGGAGCCCACATGCCCTTCAATAACTGTGAAGCTGCATAGTGTTGTAAATTTTGTCCACAACTGTCGTTCGCTTAACAATTTAATCCGCATGCAGGTAGGTTTCTCCATAATATTTCGAGATATATAAGAAATATTCACTTGTCTCAAAAGCTTTTTCCGAAATCCTATTTTATTTTTCACGAGAATAGTTTACAGTTTTGCTAATCACCCCCCAAAAAAAATATCTGCATCATGTTATCCTATGCTCTGTTGTTGCTTTACGACGCATAGCGCGCATTAGGCTGTGCGGGTCGGGCAACTTTGTCATTTTTGGTTGTCGGAATCTATCGTATTTAACCTTATCCACAAAAGGGTGTAAGACAGCACGCGACACATGGAAGGAAAGACTGAGAGTTTCTGCCGATTTCTCCAACCCGGTCGGCTCAAATTCCAATACCTCATTTTGTGGTACTTCAGTTGCGAGACATACACATGCATCGAAAGATGTCACCACCCCAAGTCTATGATATCTCTAACGGTCGCGCCAGTTCCACGCAACGCAGCTAATAACGAAACGAAACACATTTGAGTACGCATTGGCTAGCTGCAAAGAGCCGTTCACCGACAGTTGACAAGTGGCACGAGAAGCCAATATATAACGACAAACACCGGTCATCTGTCCTACTGCGAAAAACGTTAGCGAAGTAAAAACGAGGAAAAACGACGAAAAAAAGCTAAGAAACAAGAGCATCTAGAGTCAGCTGTTGGCCACGCCGTCTGCTGACAAGTTTATCGTAAACGCCATTAAACATATTTTTTTTTGTTGTCATGGCCGCCAATACCAATGCGAACATCATTTCAGCGTACCATATTATATCGATGTTACAATACACCATTAACACGCTATATGGCAAAGGTTGATATCTATGTGGATTCCATGCACGGCAAGGATCGCCGATACCGGTTTAGACGTGGGTAAAGCGACAGATTTTCGATCATGTTTGGCAATGGCGACAGTGGCAGCAGTGAATAAGCTAACCGGCCAAGAAAAAATAACAGATAGAAATTAAGAAATCGCTTAAAAGCGACTGTCGTCTTTGGAACTGACGCACAATGGAACGTCGAGATTAACCCTACGAAACTATATGGCACATCAAATAAAATTACCTTGACGCAGACGAGCAATCAATGCGATCTAATAGATCGACCAGTGTATCTCCTATGTCCACGGTAGCGATTGGATTTAGCATATTCAGTAAGAGATTGAATCATATACGTTGTGGTCGAGCTTTCACAGCCACTCATCTTAGGAGAAACTCTGACGCTAAGTTAAATAGGACTGTATTTTCGGGTGCAAATCAGGTTAGGCTCTGAATCGTTAGTCTTTCCTCATTTGTGCCCTCGGCAGTTTTGGTGTGTTTGAGGCATGAAGAGGAGTATACAGTTATGGCCGGAAACGAGCATTTGCCTGTTATGTCAATGGTTAAGAGGACAGACTGGCTGACTAATTTAGTGCCAAAGAAAGTATACATCTATCTATGTATTTGATCAACTGAAAAAGTTTCTCCAGTTGAGATCGAAATACACAAATGTACAGTCAGACTGGCTCGCCGATGAATCGTGTCGTCGCCATCAAATAGTAACAGACCAAGAGGTAATTTTCTCTCCTTCTTTCTTCCCTTGAAAATGCTGTGTACGAAAAATTATTTCATAGAATCATAGAAACGAGAGCTGTCAAGTCACATTCAAGTGCGTTCACAAGTAACGAGCCCAAATGGCTGATTAATATTGCTATTTAATTTAACTTAGCTTAATTTAGTAGCATCCCAGCTGTTTGACTTAGGTATTATATTAACTCCCGCAAACCTACTGGCGTAGACGGCCTCGTAGCACAATAACAGCGTAACGACGTTATATACTCGAATAGAGTAGACCAGACTTGTTTTTGATTATGGCTAACATTCAAACCAGTCGTAGTTGTATCAAACAGAATCCGGTCAGGCCAAAGGTGAAAACTATTCAGGAGACATATAGCGACAGCGGTCGCAGCGATATCAGCATTGTCCATTGTAGCACATTGAATTTCTTTTAAGGTATATCTAGGCTACGGAGGAGTCTGGCAAGACGGGTCGAGTTTGCTTGAAGCCTACCTTTCGCGGACTCTGAAACCAATTTTACGAAAGTCGCAATCAAAATAAAAAATACGCACATATGTTCAGAAAGCCATAGATCAGGTCAAGTTATACAGTATACAATCTCACATTGGCTCTCCGCTTATAAATCTGCCACTTGTTAGAGCGTTGTTACCGCGTGCAAGCCAAATATATAGTATTAAACGTGTAAGCCAGTTCACCTCACTGCCGCCGCTGCCCCCTTATGGCCGGATCGTCGTGGACTGATCTTGTGTGGATCTCCGCGAAAACATATGGGGGCCTTGGCCGCGTCCGCGCCGACATAATCCGCACAAGCAAAACGTCAGTCACGTCGGCAGTGCATCAGCAAAGCCACAGTCCGCTCTATCTAAATGCCGTCACCCTGGCGACGATCCCGTCACAAGCGTCGAAAATTCAGGACAAGCGAAGGTGCGCGCGAGAAAGAGAGACAGAGAAAAGTAGGTACTGAACGAGTGTGTTCAAAGGGAGGAGAAGTGTCGTAGAAACGACAAATATTGACGCGACGGCGGCCACGACATCCA